TCGGATCGCTCCGTGGCGTCAGCGAGGAGGACTTGCATTTCTTCGGTACAGTGGCCGACAGCCTGGCAACTCCGGGTTTATGAATCTAGGGTTGATGGATTTAGGGATTTAGGGTTTAGGGTTTAGGATTTAGGGTTCAGGGTTTAGGGTTTAGGGTTTAGGGTTTAGGGTCTAGGGCTTGGGGTTTAGGGGGTTTCGGATCTTCTGGGGTTTGAGGGCGTGGAGGTTTATGCTATTGGGTTTAGAGCTTCTTTCCGCGTTCTCGTTTCGAGCCCAACAAGCCTGGCTTTGTTTGTCTCAGGAGCTTTCCCAGAGACTCCAATATCCTTTAATTAAGGAATGTACCTTAAATTATAGTAGGATCCCTAATATGGTTTAAAGTATATTCCTTAATTAAGGGATATCGAAGTCTCAGGAGCTTTTAGGGCTTTACGATTTTGAGGTCGAGGGTCTGTGGTTTAGGATTTCGGATCTGAAGGTTCGGGGCCTTGACAGTTTAAGGCTTGGGTTAAGGTTCGGGTTTCGGGGTCTCTGTTTGCATTTTCTGGTTTAGGATTCAGGGGTTGAGGTTTGAGTCTGAGGAGTTATAGAGGTCGGATGTAGTTTGTTGGGTGCCCAAGTGACCGCAAGATGCAAAGCCCGAAGCTTGAACCCCTGCATCCGGACTCATCACCTGCCACCAGCATTTCCCGAAACACCACCAAAAAAGCACTTCTAAATCGCAAACCCTCGAATCCTTGACGGAACTGTCTTCGCGAGCGGTTAAACCTTCACTGCCGACTCCCAAGACCTCTATAGTCAACCTAAATCCCAAACCCTCATCATAGCATCTGCAAGACTGAACCCTAAACCCAAAACCCAAAACCCTAAACCCTAAACCCTAAGCCCTAAACCCTAAACCCTCGTATCCGTCGAGCTGGGCTGCGGGCCCTCGATGCGTAGTGCTGGGCACTGGAGACCAGTCCTGGCTGCAGCGGCCAGCAGACGTCGGAAGGCTTACTATACTAAACTATACTATACTATACTATACTATACTATACTATACTATAGTTAAACTATACTATACTATACTCTACTCTACTATACTATACTATACTGTACTATACTATACTATACTATACTATACTGTACTGTACTGTACTGTACTGTGCTGTTTCTGTACCACATTATATATGTTGTCTTAGATCTGGGTGCTTCAGGTTGAGCTCAAACTGATTGTTGAATTCGGGCCAACATTCTAGATCCCTTTGGGGTGCAAGGCTTGGCAGGAAGGATTGGACGACTTGCATATGCGGACACTTACAAAGCCTGGTGCCGAATCCCAAGATCCTCTGAGTCGTTACAGGCCCAGGTGCTCGGAAATGGGCACCACGAAAGCATGTCGGGAGAGCCACATTGGCTGGTCGCGCTTGGAGGGAGTGGCTGGAACTGGGCGAGAACCGGGGCACGGTGTCGAGCTTACCATCGAGTTTTGAGTTTAGGGCTTAGTGGCAAGGGCTTCGTAAGGCGCCCAGGGCGTTAGCAAGTAGGGATTTTCAATTTGGGTTCGCCCAGGCTTTGTTGGTCTTGTCGTGGTTTAGGGTTCGAGGAAGGCGCCATCTTGCAATGTTAACCCCGAGGCCGCAGACTTAAGCCGAACCACGGAAGCAACTGGGCAAGATGATGCAGACAGCCCTACCGTGGGGACTGAATAATTAGAAGAGGGTTTTGGGGTATGTTCTCCTATAACTATGCTAAGGAACCCCCCGAAAATCGTATAGGTACTTATTTCGGCCCCTATATGTTATACCCTAAATACACCCTACTCAACTCGCTGAACACTCCGAAGTCCCAAAGCTGGACAGGGGCGGTTGCTAGGACCTGAAATTTAGGGTTTAGGGTTTAGAGTTTAGGGTTTAGGGCTCCTGACCCCGAAGCCCAAGCCCCAAAACATCAGAAACCCCGAAAAATAAACCCCCAAAAAACCGCTAGAATATACGATATGAACTTAAGCCCTAGATCACCCGAAAATGCCGGAAGCTCTGGCCTGCAGAGGTGTGGGGTCCCCTCTTCGGGTTAAGAAACAGAGGCGCCGAAAGCCCGGAATTCGTGGAGCATGCGATGCAGTGTGGGGGTTCTAGGGCTCCGAAAGAGCACGTAAGCAAAAATTAGGATAGGGATATCCCATATAAATAAACCCCCCTTATAATGAAGCCAATAAGGTAAGGATATCCCGATAAAATGCTTATGCTTATGTCCTTTCTGGGTTCTAAGGTTCAGGTCGTAGGGTTTCGGGTTCACGGACTAGGGTTTGGGGTTCCGGGCGTGGGTTTAGGGTTTAGGGCTTCAGGGTTTCGGGTTTAGGGCTTAGGCCCTAAACCCTAAACCCTAAACCTAGGGGTTCGAGGTTTCGGGTCGATTGTGGTTTCTTCACTAGGAGGCATCCTCCTGCAAAGCACTCCCGAGAACCTCCAAGAACACCGAAACAGAAAACATGAGCCCTACGGTAAATCCTATATCGTGAACCCTAAACCCCGTGCAGAATAACCTGAACTTGCCCTAAACCTCGTCTTGAGAATTCTAAACCCCCGATATAGGAACAGCCCCATGTCGAATCTTCCAAAACCCGCACGGAATCATGAAATAAATCACCTCACCTCATCTCGAAGAATGAGATCCACATTTTGCCGGGGTCCAGGCTGTAAACTAGGATCCCGAACAGCTTGTGGTTCCTTCCAGGGTCATCTTTTGGGGTGCCGGCTCGAAGCGAAAATCGACAGGTCCCCTGTTCTCAAGAGCCCGGAGAGAAGGGACCTTCGTGTATCTGCAGGGATCCCTGAGTTTAGGGTTGAGGGTTTAGGGCTTAGGGGGACAAGCCCTAAACCCTAAACCCTAAACCTCTCAACGCCTAAGCCCTAAACCCTAAACCTCTGAACCCCAAAACCCTAAACCTCTGAACCCCCAAACCCTAAACCCTAAACCCTAAACCATGGGTTGATCGTTGTCGATCTCGGGGGCTGAAGGCATGCAGGCTTGCTGTCAGAGTCTGGGTCCGAAGGCGATGAACCCCAGCCTCCAGGCTTCAACCGAGTTCCTGCATCGGAGTTCTAGAGTTTAGGGCTTAGAGCTTGGGGTTTAGGGTTTTGAAGTTTAGGGTTTAGGGTTTGGGGTTGGGGTTTTGAAGTTTAGGGTTTAGAGTTTGGGGTTAGGGTTTGATGTTTAGGGTTCAGGGTTTTGACCCACTTATGAGTTTACAATGAGCCAGAGCCCTACACCCTGCGAAGCGAACTCCAAATGCCATGCCCAACACACAAAATGCCTCTCGAAGTACACTTAGAGCCACCTTCCATAAATCATGTATGGCCAGACCTAGGCGATTGACACATGCTCATTACAAAACTAAACAAACCGAAAAGGCTCGCTATGCAAAAAAACTCAATTTGTTTTTGGTCGCTGCTTGGTACGGTAGGCACTGACTCGAAGCCCTGAGCCCTAAATCTCCAAATCCCTGCCTCTTCCGCCCTAGATCCACACATCCCTGAAACCCCAAATTCTTCACACCCTTGGCGCACCCACAAATTTCGTAGAAAACACTTCAAACCTCAAAAAACCAGCAAGAACCCTGCCTGGTTCCGCAGGTTCGACGTTGAAGTCCAGGCTGTCCTGGGTAGGCGAGGAGGCGCTGAGGGGTTTAGGCCTTGGGTTTTCGGGCTGAGGGATTAAAAACATGTTTGGGCTTGGTGCCTCACGGTTGAAGCCTAAACCCTAAACCCTGAACCGTAACTTTCATGTCACAACCCACCCGGTACTGCTCGGCGCTTGCTTCCGAGAGCTCTAATCATTGGGGGTGAAGTAGGGTTCAGGGTGTAGGGTTTAGGTTTTAGGTAAGGATCTGCTACGCTACTTGCAGTTGTGCAGCATAAGTCCACCTCATCCAAAACTAGGCTTGGCCTGGAGCACATCTGACAGTTCCGGATACCTTTTTGGTTGCATCTACTTTTCTACCAAGCTTTCTGGTGATTCTTCACATTTCGAAGGCAGCAGCGTTTCTGGCCTTGCATGAATCAGCCCCTTAGCCTCAACCTTAAGGTGCCTCGACTCGGAACGTGCCCCCAGAAATCGAGGCTCCGTACCTTGGAGGAGCCCGCCACACTATCTTATTGGAAGCTGTAAAGGAGGGGTACTTGATCATGTCATGAGCCAGTTGCGAACAGACTTGAAGCATCACAGTCAGGGTTGATACGCAACAGCGACACTGGTTTCAGATGTCTGTTCTGAAGCACTCCTGTTCATAGGCCCAAATGAGCCTTCAAGTCGTGATGAGGCTTCCTTCGAGCAGAAGCTCGACTGCACTGGCCCGTCTGAGTCGCGGGCATAGCGGTCTTCGGCACCGGCTGCATTTGTCGTTGCTGCTGCTGGCGCTGGAGCTTCTGCTGCTTTTGCTGCTCTTGCTGCCGCAGCCTCAAGTGCAAGGCTTGCGGCTCCGTGCGCAGGCATGCGAGCCTGTAACGAGCACAACACAAACTCACAGACCTCAACGCGAAACAAGGCAAACAAGGCTTCAGAAATGTTGCATCCAGGAGGCTGCTTCTGGTGATGATGCAACAGAAGCAGCTCCTCCTCCTTCGCCGCAGAATTTTTCTGCTCATGGAGGTGCCACTAGGAGATACTGGTCTTTGCGGTCCTTCGCTGTGTCTTCGTTGGCGTGCCCGAACCACATCTTGTCCAAGTGCTCGCGCCTGGACCGAAGCACAACGTTGAGCACGACCGTTGTGATGGCACCGGAATGTCCAACAAACCGGCCATCCTCGTCATTGCCACCAGCATCATCATCAACACGCTCAGCACAGAATGATAATCACTATCATCATCAAGTAAACCATCACCACTTGTGTGGTTGGTGCTGCCAGATCTTGTTCTGCTGCAGCTTCCGCGAAGCATGTCATCATCATGTTGGCACGGAGAACTGGCAGAAGTCGCTGACCAAATCGAAAAACACAAGCTGTCGCCGAGAGCCACACAGCTTTAGCGCGCCCCAGGGATCCACCTCCGAGCAGTTTTTGTCATGCTTCCATGCACATTGGAGTGCTTCTCTCTTTTACGTTTAGCACAGTCCATCGAAGTTGTGGTCTCGTCATCGTCGTCAGCCTCCTCGTCGCCTCGTCGTCGTCGTCGTCGTCTTGGTGGTGGTGGTGGTGGTGGTGGTGGTGGTGGTGGTGGTGGTGGTGGTGGTGGTGGTGGTGGCGGCGGCGGCGTTGGTGGTGTTGGCGGCGTTGGTTTTGGTGTTGGTTGTTGTTGTTGT